CAGTTAATAGTCTCGGACCTGCTCTGTAATCCCTGGGATTTTAGTGAAGCCTTTCGGTGGAACAGGACCCTTTTTTTTTTAATCTCTGCTGCCCACAGGCCACGGGGAAAGGCTTTCCCCTCTCTTGAGCTCTCCTCTGGTGTGAGAAACAGTTTAAATACTGTGATTTTTGAAACATGAGCTTTAAAGAACTTCATGTCTCCCTTCACAACTGCTGGTAGCTGCTCGCTGTGTACCACTGCGAGGCACCTGAGAGCAGAGCTGGGTCTCTGTCACCGGCTCATGCTTTGAGTCCCGTTTCGCTGGGTTTACTGCAGAGGGAGTTCAGACACTTCCGACTTCCTCCCACATATTTGAAGACCCTGTGCACTCCTTTTTGTCTGGCTTAATGATCTGCATACCCCAGGGAGGGCCCAGCACTGAAAAGGATGCCATTAGAGGGTATGTTCCCCCGTGACACCCTAATAACTCCCCCCCAGCCCTTCCGTTAGCCAAGACATCTTGTGTGGCACCTCCAGGTGTTTGTTACCTAACTCCAGCCTGCATCCCGGTCCCAGCGCCCAACTTCATGCATGGCTTTTCCTGAATTTCAGGTGTATATTGTACTGGTGATGGCCCTGAGTCTTTCCAGGAATATTTAGGAATGGATGGCGTTGTTATAGATGTTTTTCTCTATAGTATTGTGTGTTTACACCACTGTTGGTATTTGGTGAGCTTCTGAGAAAACCTTCATTAGATGCTCTTTGCTGCATCCTATATGCTTGATGGTTGTAGAGGTCTTTGCTGTATCAACTCAGCAAGCAAGAAAATATCAGCTTTAAAATAAGAGTTGAGAAAAACAGATAATGAATAGTAACTTAGTATCTGGAAGAACAGACCTTAGATTTGAGGTGGGTGCCGTGTATCTTTTTGAGAAAGAGAAATAAAACCAGATAATTTTTTCCATTAACTGTTTTTTCCTTTTTTTTTTGTTTCCTAGTGCAGCGAGAGTTTACACAGAAGAAAACCTTCACTAGTTGGATCAATTCCATTTTGGCAAAGGTGAGAAGGGGATTCTTTAGCAAAGACATGCCTTTTGCCTTTTTAATTCAGGTGTGCTGTGCGGAGATTAATTTTTTTGGGTAATAAACAAAATTAATGCAAGTTTTTTTAGGCACTGGATGGAAAAAGTATCCCCTGGAAAGCATTTGTTTAATAAGTGTAACAGCACCGCATTGGTGAATGTCCAAGGACATTTGTAAGAGATGGTGTGTAAGTAGATGGCACTCTTCCTTGTTCATGTGGTAAAACTGCTGGATTGTGGCACATGTGCAATCCAAGAACATGAGTTTCATGAGATGACCTGAGTGACTGGCAAGTATTAAGACAAACCACATAGCAGTGTAGGTGCTCTTTAAGCTTTCATTAAACAACATGTTCTGGGGCTGACTTGCTCAAGTGAAAAAAAAAATCCTCTTTAGGTCCCTCCTTGAGCAGAAGCTGCTGAGATTGTGATAAGTTTGTGTTGTGTTCTTCACAAGTGGGTGAAAAGTGATTCCGTTACGCAGCTCTATACTCAAATTAGTACTTGGGGTATATTGATTGAGATCTCAAAATATGAACTGACTGCTTTGCTTAGCTTTCCCTTTCTCAAAATTTTGCGACATACCTGCTTGAAAAATATAAGTTCTTGAAACTGAGTCCTAAAATAACCCTTATTAAAACACAGAGGCAGGGCAAGGGGGAGCAAGAAAACATAATAATGGATTAAAAGAAGCAGGATGTGGCTTATTAGGTTCAGGATTTTTATTCCAGCTTAATGAAAACATAAAGGATACTAAACATTTTTTAACCACAGGGTGATCTGTGATGTTTTGGAATTTGTTGAATTCAAAATGACAAAAGATTGAAATTCATTCTGCAGCATACACCTCCATCTGTTGTCTCAGACCTGTATACAGACATACAGCAAGGACATTTGCTTCTGGATCTATTGGAAGTGCTTTCAGGTCAACATCTGGTAAGACAGAGTAATAAAAATATTACCTCAATTCTTCATCAAGTCCAGCAAAGATTTCTGGATATGCTTAATTGTAACCATATGAATGATCCCTCTGGCATTATAGAGTTAGTTGCAAGTAACTTGTATTTACGCCACTGACTCTGAAACACACTGAAATAACTTGATCCAAAGTAATTTATGGATCTTTGCAGGACTTCCCTTATCAAAATATAGAATAAAATTAATTTTTGCAGTTGAGTATGTAACCTGTTCTTGTTGCTTCGCAGCCACGGGAAAAAGGATTTAATACCTTCCAGTGTAGAAGTAATATAGAAAATGCTTTGACATTTTTAAAGGGCAAATCAGTGAGTATTAACTTCAAAATTCACAACTAAAGCCAGTTTAGCTGGTGGAACATTTTGTTTGTTAATAATGATCCTTTTTTTTTCTCCTTAGCTCAAGCTCATAAATATTCATGTTGCTGACATTGTTGAAGGAAAACCTTCCATTGTGCTTGGCCTAATCTGGACCATTATATTTCATTTTCATGTAAGTATTTCAGCGATGTAAGAGAGTGTTAGGAGAGGGGAAAAGCACAAACATGTTGGCTTATATGATTACCAAGTGAGATGAATTTGTACAAAGCAGATAATTTTCTGAGTCGGGAAGTGTCAGCTCAAGGAGGAGATGCACCAATGCTGCTTCACCAATGCAAGGATGGCAGTGATGAACAGTATCTAGTGGCAGATGGTAGGAAGGAAATGTCTTGGGGTTTTTTTGAAGTAACCAGTCAAGAAATAGGCTGTGTTGGAACCAAAGTGGCTTCTAGCAAGAGCCCAGCAATGAATTTACATAGCAACACTGGGGGTGAACTGGTGACTGGGGCTCAGGAGAGCACTAAGGAGCAAAGTTTTCTAACAGTATTGTAGCCCATTTTTATGGTTAGAGGTACTTTGGTGCTGAAGATTCTTGCGCTGCACATGGCCTAGGCAATATATTTTTGCCTAAACCAAGCTACCAAATGTAGATCTCCTGAGGTCTATCATGTAGGTTTTCCTGCACCCAAATGAGAAGGAAAAGTCTGAGCATGCCTAATACATGTCACTGTTGACAGCAGAAAACATAGCTGCTATGGGATGCTGTCACTGGTAAAAGGAGTAGAAATTGAGTGAGAAAGTCCTTTGATGACATTACTGGTACCCACAGTATAACATGGAAGTCTTCGGATGAATGTATCCTGCCTGAAATTGCCTAAAGCTGGGAATTCAACATGAAATAGTTCATGTTATATGGATTGAAAAGCCTGATTGATTTTTGGAGGCAGGAAATCTACTCTTGCTGCTGTGATTGAGTCCTTTCTAGTTCTTTGTGGTGTTCTGCCCTTGATGTCTTGCTAATTTTTCACTGAAGCCTGATTAAGTCTCCCATCATCTCTAATAGATTGAAGAACTTGCCAGGACACTTGCTTGTACTTACAATCAGCCTTCACTTGATTGTTCAAGTACTGTTGACTCCTCTCCAAAGGCAAGCAGATCAGCTAAAAAAAGTGCTAAAATTAAGGAACGGTGGAAGATGTCTGCTACAAAGGCCCTTCTGTTGTGGGCAAAAGAACAGTGTTCACTGTAAGTTCAATCCAAGACTGGTAAATAGTATGTTACACTTTGTATTGCTGCTTTCCTCTAACTGTGGTGATATTTTTTAACTGTTTTTAACATTACTTAGTGACAGCTTAGGAGAAAATCCTTTAAATTTCAGATGTGGCTACCTGTACTTTTAGCATCAATCAGGCCCTAAATGTTTTGACATGAGCCCTTTAAATACAATAAAGTGAAGCTCATCTTACTAATAAGATAACACAATGTAGTTTGAGTTGACTTTTCTTTTTTAGGGGCTTCTGTATAATAAGTCTAGTGGAATGTTTACATAACCCGCTTGTTTTAATCCTTGTGATTGGCACTGTTTCCACAAAGTTTCAACAACTATGCTTTTTTTCTTAATGGAGAATGTAGGATTTCTACAATTCCCACTTCTCGTATTTTTATGTCAAAACACTGCATGATCCCCAAGAAGAATCCTAATCCTGGAGGTCCTACTCCCCAGTTCTAACAGGATATTTCCTTATGCTTGATGTACAGATATCATTGTTGCTGTCAGTGGGAGTATTCACAGCACATGATCTAGAGCAGACTCAAATATTTCTTGCAAGGAGCAGATTTTCTGCCCTAGCATTTTCTTCAGGGGCTGCTGCTTCAGTCCAGGATGTTTCAAATATGTTTTACATATGTCAGCCGTTTCTCTGCAGCTCTTTGGTTGCTTTATGGTCTAATAATATCCTACTAATATTCCATGCTATTAGTCAGAGATAAAGGCCTTCATCAGCACATCAGACACTTTCTGCTGGGGGAATGGCACTGAAGTTTGCCTTTTAGCTGTGTTTTATCAGAACAAGATTAATTGGCATGTAAAAGCCAGCTCGTCCTTTTAATCTTCCCCTTTCTTCTGCCTGTTTTTGAGCAGTGTTGCTGTCTGGTTTGTAGCATCCTTTCTGAACTGTCATTATGTTGAATGATTTTGTTATCAGTGAATCCTGTAGTTTTTGGTAAAGGAATAAATCTTTTAAGTCCTTGCCCGTTGTTTTGTAGCTAAATTTGATCACCCAAAACCCCACATCTTTTCCGTGCTGTAATGTACTCATAATATACTGGCTGGTTTTGGACAGCTCTCCCAGAATTTGCTGTGGCTTGCAGTGCTGGACCCCTCAGAGCATTGCCCAGGCACCACTTAATAGAAGATGATTTGAAGACACTGAGCTAAATAACAGAAAAATAGATATTTTTTCCTCCAGTAATACATCACTTTTAAGATCTGGATTTTCTAAAATGACACTTCTCAGTGTCCTTACAGACAAATACCTACATGTTCTGCAGTGTTTTGCTTGTTGATTTTCCATCCCATAGAATGCATAGATATTGAGCACAAAGGTGATGTTCGGAAAGGATATTGGATCAGCAAGGCTTTATCTTCAGAATGCAACATAAGACAAAAAGAAATAGAGTCATTTTGCAAATAGTATAGAAATCTGCAGTTGTAGCAATTGGTAGTAACTGGCTGTATTGTTGTCTGCTCCAACTTCTGCAGACAGAAGTAGTTTTGGATCTGGTTCATGCTCCATTTTACTGAATTTGTATTCTATTTCTACATTTGTACTGAGGACATCTGAGGAAGCAGGCTATAACACTTTGTTTCTAATCATTTTTGGAGTAGACATGGCCCTATCAATGTGACTGACTTCAAGTCAAGCTGGCGAAGTGGACTGGCTTTTTTAGCCATCATCCAAACCTTACGACCAGGTCTGGTTGATTTGGAGAAGGCAAAAGCTAGAAGCAATAAAGAAAACCTGAAAGAGGCTTTCAGAATTGCAGAAGTGGAGATGAATATCCCACGACTTCTTGAGCCTGAAGGTAAATCATCATCTTATTGTTAATCTTTGTTATCAGGAGTGAGATTAATATAATCCTGTACGTGTTGAACTGAAACACAGGAAAAAGTACGACTGTGCTTAAGTTTGAAACGGAACGTTGGTCTTTACTGTAATGCTCAAACCTGAGGTTCTTTATTTTATAACATCAGCTGTACTTAGGAATTGTAGAATTTTTGAATTGTCAACAATTGCAGGAACAGTATGCAGAAGAAAGGATATGAAACTTTCCTGTTCATGGGAAAAACCTTTTCATTAGTTAATCATGTTGTATTAAAATATTCCCAAGGAAAAAATGTGCATTGCATATTAATTTCTGTCAATGGTATGTTAAGTGAGCTGTTGCAAAATAAACATGTTTATGGTGATGTGCTTTAATAACTGCAGTATAGCATGTAATTATGTGATCAGGCCTAGAAGTCTGCATAATTATGTAAATGGTGTATTGGCTCTTGTAGATGTTGACATAATGAATCCAGATGAAAAATCAATTATGACTTATGTGGCTCAGTTTTTGCAATATTCCAAGAATTTGCCCGAGTCCGAAGAAGACATGCAGGTATGTCACGTGGTTTGTCACTGGGGCGTTTTAAAATGGACGTGGATGCCAAGACTGTCAGTGCTCTCTCTGCCCAGTGTATAATCTGAGTCAGTAGTACTTACGTAGGAGATTCTGTGACTCTACTGGTGACAGGACCGAACTGGCTTTAACCTTCTGATGCTCCTGTCTGGTAGAAAAAACTCCATATTGTAGATTTCTGATCATACAGGTAGAATTGCTGTGCAGGATACCTTGTTTTTCATTTCAGTGTTACAGAGGACACTTTCAAGCCTGGTTGTCTTCATGTGTGCTCTGAAGCCTATGTAAATATTGGGGTGGAGGCAGACAGATTTGCACACGCACAGAACAGCCAACTTTAAATTTAGTAGCTGACATGTGAAATGGATGGAAGTTGTCACTCACAGATCACACTCACTGGAAAACCAAATTTTCTTTTCTCTCTCTTCTCCTATGAGAGTTTAGCTAGTAGTTGGTTATTTCACATATCTCTATGTTTATAATCTTCTTTCAGTAGGACTGCAGTCAGGCTCTTCTTTTTATGCCTTCACCTATCCTGGTGCCAGGGTTAAAACTTTGGCCTTGGTGTGTGATAGTGCCTGACCCAAAATTCATCAGGGTCCCCAGGAATTATTGGTTGCTTTTCAATAGCTTTGAATGGACTTTATCGCATGCTCAATGAATGTTGTTTTATGGCATAATGTAAATTAAAAACAAGGCTTGCAACATGGGAAGATGAAATTTTCTGCTCTAATTACCAGGAAAAAGTAAGAGAGGCCATGAGCTGGTTGACTGCACAGGAGAAGAAGTTAGCAAAGCTGCTGATTGACACAGAGAATGAAACATGTTACCAGAAGTACAAAGTAAGTTGCATTTCATATTTAACTGCTTCTGTGAAAAGAAGCTGTTTCTGGGAATATTTTTCATCTTCATTGCCTAAACTGAAGTGTTAAGTAAAAGAATTGGAAATCAGACAATGAATTTGGTAAATTCCCTCATATGAAGGAAAGGTAGGATAAAATTATTTCTGTCAGGAAAAAGTTATATGCTACTTGCTTTCTGAGCAGAACAAAGTTTTTTTGGAGAGAGTAAAGTAGTGTCTTAATTGACGTAGTTGAAGACTTGGACAGGTTTCAAGCACATAAGCCCTTTACAGGGTTATTTCTGTGATAATTGCAACAGTAGGTTTTACCCAACTAATTTGGTAGAGGAGTGGTTGAAATGTTGGCAATAGGTTGTGCAGACTTAAAATTTTATTTGGTTTATATTGTAGCCAGAGTTTGTAATAAAATGGCCCAAGGGGAACAGTGAGGGGAGGAATTTTCCCTTTCTCTTGCTGGGAGGGGAGAACCATGTTCTGACTGTGCTGACATTAGATTAAATACAGACTTAGGGAATGACAACTTCAGATCCAAATACTGCCTGGGGACAAGTATGCCTCTTGCTCTCTTGCCTTTGCATGCATCACACCCTTTGAAGTTAACGGAAGTCAATGTGTTCAAAGGCAGTACTTGGTTCCATGAGCTTCCAACTGAAGTCTTCTGTGAATTGCTCTTCTGTTTTATCCTTAGGCAATGATGTCATTTATGGAAACATTTAACCAAGAGAAAAAACCCTTTCTGCCCGTGTTATCATCAAAAAGAAGCAAAGCTGAGCTGAGCAAAGGACAGCAGCAGATGAGAGAAGAGTGGGATAAAGTCATCTCTCAGGTCAGAAGCATTTCTCTGTCACCTCCAGCATGTGCATGTTTGATGAAGAACCCTTAGTCTACCCCAGGAACTCACAAAAGGAAAAGTGGGGAGGTGATACTTTATTTGGAACAGTAGAAGAGGTATTGACCCTGGACCTGAAGTCCAGACTTGAGCGGTGTTCAGTGCCCAAGAGGAGGCAGAAGGTGACTGTGTGTTACCCTTCTGCCTCCTGAGCCTTGGGACAGTGCAGTGTCTGTGGAAAATGCCCTGCATCTGGTTATCTTTGACCACACTGCCAGTCAAAGATTTTGGCCTGTTTATGCTTAAAAGGTTATTTTGGGACATAATTATGGCTCAGATAGTAATGCGGCTGGGAAAAGTGTGTTCATATACTCCTTCCCGTGGCACGGATACTGACATGATGAGACCTGGCTGGTCAGTGCTTTGCAGTGTGGTTGTCTGTGTCAGCTCCCTCTGCCACAAATGGGGGTGTATCGGGCCATGCTGTTAATTGCTCTTTTGGGAACAGATACTCCCCTGTCAGCCCTGTGATGGAAAGCTGTTCAGGGCATCTCTGTTCCCCCTCTATTTTGCAACAAATTGTCTATAAATTTCCCTGTTGCTGGGCCTTGAGATAGTCACAGCCAAGGCTAGAGGCACGAAATTCTCTGTGGTGTTAGAGATTACAGGCTGGGAGCAAACCTGAGTTTCAGATAAACATAGCTGATTTGCAACTGACTTCATTGGATGCTCCTCTTCTCGAGGGTGACAGGTGTGGGGGAGTGAGTTTCTGGGATGTCTAGAGCATGCAGCATATGTCCATATCTTGGGGATGGAAAAGAAAATAATAGTGAGAAATTTAATCACTTGTTTCCCGTTTAAAGATCAACACATGGAAGACAAAGCTGGACCAGATGTTGCCCTCCCCTCTGAATAGCATTGAGGCTTGGCTTCAGGAGGTGGAACATCTGCAGGCGGAAGATTTGCCTGATTTGCAAGAGCCGTTTAAAGCAATGTTTGTCTTCAGAGAAATAATTGTAACATTTAAGGTATGCTGATCACAAAGGAACACTCTGCTTCAGTTTGACCTAGCAATTGCTCTTTGACGATTTGGGAAGTGGTGTGCCTATGTTTATCTTCTGAACATGAAAAGCTCTTCTGAACATACCTTTGAAGTATAATGGGTTTCATGAAATAACTGCATGGGTCTGTAAGGAAGGTTTCTGACTTCACTGGGGTAAGATTAAATTTGAGTACTACTTGAATGAATAAATTGTGGTTTGCTTTTTTATGTGGTTCCTCCAACTTGTTTGTTTGTTAAGTAATGGCACAGAGTAATTGCATCCTTATCTTTAAATCTCTGCTTAATGCATACCTATTCAGAAAGCACTTGAGCTCAAGGTTACATTCCAGTGAGTTCAAGAAGTTTGTGTGTTTCAAGTTAAATATTTGTTGAATCACGATGTATTTCCATTCAAGGCAATGGCAGATATTTTGATACCTCAGTACCATGCAAGTTATTTATTCTGATCTTGAAATTTTGCACTGATAATAGTTTAAGCATCCTTTTGTGTCTGAAAACCCTGAAAGAGTAGATGTGTTGATGCCTGGTTGATCAATATTAATGGCATACTAGGGTTTTTTATGAACAAGTTTGCTGGTTTTGTGACATGTCCTTAAAGAGAATTTGAAGGAATGGACAGTGGGGGTTCTTGCAAGCATCTTGGTAACACCACTATTTTGTGCCGTTGGTAGTCAGTTCCTGATATGACAGATGGCTTTTTAACTGGTAACAGTTTTGCCAGCCTTTAGCCAATTGATCTAAGATTTTTGTTGTACAGATTAAGTAGTCAAAGTGTTTTTAAGAATGTGACAGAGAGAGATGTCATTTGTGAAAGGGTTTATTTTTTCCCATTGAACATGTAGATAAAATCATTATATTCCTTGAGAAGAAGAAACCCATGGTACTTAATACTGTCAAATCCACTTTGCCTGATGAGAAGACATTCTGCTGAAAATTTGTTCCCTCTTTCCTCTAGTCAGTCCTTCTAGTATGTCTTGCGTGAGGATCATATTGCTAAGGTGGTGCCTTATAATAGAAATTTTACTTTCCCTTAAAATCTAGGGAGCTACCCACCAGTGCTCATAACTGTATGACTGGCATAGTATTAAGGTTACAAAATCAAGTGTTTAAAACCTGTGTATTATTAGTATGGTTGAGGGCTGTCCCAGGATTTAGCAATTTTCAATAACATGCTTTATAGCAAGTTTCATTACATAGAAATGAACCTTTAGCATATTTCTTTATATGCCACTTACAAGCATGCTTACATTCTGTGCAATACATTTTAAGTTTTATTTCTGCATAGGAAATCTGGTGCTGACACAAGTCTGTAAAATATTCTCCAGTCATGTCATACTGTCAGATGGTTAATTTGATATGCAGTCAGCATGGTGTTAGACAGATTTATTGAGCAGTCAAATGAAGTATTAAACAAGAGACATAATAGGTTTATTCAACAGGTTTTGCTGTCAGGCTTTGCTAACGCATAGCAAAGAACAGCTTAATACTCTCAGACTTTCACAGTGACACTTTTTTGTCCTAAAGATGATAGTGAAAGTGCAGAAAAGAACTGATAGCACTAGTAGTGTAGGTTCAGGTTCCTTATATTTCACTAGATGCACAATGATAAGAGAAATCAGGTACATGCACTCTAGAAGGTGACAAGGTAAATAATTTCCTTGCACTTTAATCAGTAAAGACACCAGAAGATTGTCTTGTGCCGACTAGCTCTTAATAGCTCTCACCCTAGTGGCAGGTGACTTGCAAATTCCCAGATGAAATCCCCTAGACTTAAGATGAATGGCTTACTATGTCTTTTTCTCTCTAGGGCTTGATGGATTGTTTTGATTCTCACTTGGACACCCTTCAGTCATTTAAGAATGAAGATGGGAAGAATATGCCACTAGTCTTTCCTGAAAAATTAGAGGAAATGAAAAGAAGGTTGTGATGTTCAAATTCCCTCTACTTTGACTGTGTTGTATTCTAGTTTGCTGGTTTGAAAGCAAACCAGTGAGTGACTCCAAGTCAGAAATACAGTTTAATAGGAAAAACAAAACAATAAATGCAACAGTACAAAAAGAAACCACTGAGCGAGTCAGAAAGCAGTCCTCCTGAAGTGATGGGTCTGTTGGAGCAATGATCCTGTAGATCTGGCCTTCACCTGAAGGGCCAGTGGCAACTCTCGTCCTCTGGGAATCCAGCAGGCAAAAGGCCCTGTGCTGGTCCAAACCCCAGTTTATATCCCTGTGGGAATGCTTGGCTACCCACCCCCATGTGGGAATGCTTGGCTCCCCCCATGGGATGAAGCATCTCACAATGGGAGGATGTAATTCTATGGGTCATGCCTGGGTCCCTGACAGCCCATTAAACAGAGACAGCCCCTGAGGGAGCCATCAGGGATGAGAAGGAGATAAGGATCACTGCCCCCACCTGCCCCAACAGCTTGTGGAGACCATAATAGAATACATACCATTGGTTACACCCTACATTGTAACCTAGGACATCTAGCTCTGCTATTGTCTAGCTCTGCTGTTCTGAACAAAGCACAGAATTTATCCATCCCTTGCAGAAAAAGAGCATTTTCCACCCAAGCCCAGACTGACTGTCAAGTGGAGCAGGCAGAGATCTCTCATTGGTCCAGTGAATGTTTGGTTATGTGTACAGAGTGGAGCTCATTAACAGGACCTTTTCAGATGCCCTTTGCTAGTATAGATAGGAAACACCCACTAGGAATAGGAAACTTGCATATTTTGAATGTAAAAATTTCCCCGGTTGGGGGGATTCGCTAAATTTTAATTTGCACCTTTTAAAATCACTACAGCTTGTGCAACCCCAAAATATCTGCTGGAGAATATTTTCAAAAATGACCAGTGAATCTGGATCCATAACCTGAGATGCTTTGACATACAGCTGGCAGACCCCCCTTTTCTGGGCATTTCAGTTTTTCCATACATTGAGGAGACAATATTGACTCAAAATTGCTGCTGCTTAAAAAAATGAACAGTTGTTATCTTAAAATTTTATTCTTGTCATAACAAAGTAATTTTTACATATATGTGATTCTGAATTTTTAGGATCCAAATCTTATACATTGTATATCCAATGATTTTGAATAAACTTCTGGAACATTTCCCTCTTTGCAGATTCAGCAATATTTGTTTCACAAACTCCAGCACCTTTCTTGAATACCACTATGGACTGTGCTCAGCTATTGCCAATGAGGTGATGTTAAAGCTAAATATCTGGGACATGAAATATGGGACAAAAGAGTCTGTGGAATCGCTGCTGGAAAATTGGAATGTAAGTTTAAGATATATGTACTGCACACTGACAGTAATTCTTCTTTCCCAGCTCTCTTTGATTCAGGCTTGTGTCTCCTCATCTGAAGATGCTATGATAGTTGGTAGAAGCATGGTAGACTGGTGAGATGTGGGATCTGTGCAAAAAAGGGCAGGCAGAGTTCCAGGGAAGCTTCCTTCACACCTTCTTTCTTCAGTTTGGAGAAGTAACACAAGCCATGACTCTGTAATTTCTCTCTGCCCTGTTTAATTTTTTATTGTGAAGATTTCTTTCTCTCTGGACTGTTTATAGAGCCAGCAATAGCAGTGCTTCACTAGCTCAAATCCACAGAAACCTCTCTGTTCAGGAGATCTTCAGAAACAGCCGTTGTTCACGGTGCTGCCTAGCACTGCCTTTTGCTGTTGCCTCTTCCTTTTCCCAGCTTCTTTACCTCCTTGTGCTTTGTGGTGAATATAAATTGTCTTGTTTTATTACATTTTGTCCTTAGCTCAGCTTCTGGACTCAGGTTACTAAAATGATGCCACAGGTAGGCTTCTAGGAGGGGATGGATTACCCAGACACAAATACTGATAGAGAATATTGCATCAAGAATAAAAGCAGAGATGAAAATGCTGATGCCATCAGTTTTGCCCCATCTCCAGTTCATGGGATTCTTTGTGAATACCATGTTAGTGAAGTTTCTAAAGTTTCTCAGAAGCTTTTCAGACTGGCAAATTGCTAGTTAAATCACTGGGAATCTAACCAGCATGAGAACTGAGGGAGGAGGCAACAAGAGGTATAAAACAGCAGTTTTTCTGAGCAGTATCAACCTTACCCTGTGGTTAGATGGGAGTACAGATTTAATTTCTGCTGAGTTTGTTGATTCAGTTGGTTTCATAAATATTCATTATCATGTTGTTTCTACAGTTATGGTTCATGGTCTTGCTCAAGTTGATAGAATATCCAAGGAGTTTAAGGCTTGTTGCTGGCTCTCCTTCTGGTCCCATGGTGTGAAGTCCTGTCTGAGCAGTGATGTGGTGGCCCAGGTTTGTCATGGCCACAGGAGAGGTTGTTTTGTAACCTGCTAGGTCAGACATTTGTAGGAGTGGGGAGCTCTAGGGTGAGATACAGCTTAGAGGGAGGGGCTGAGGTTAACCCTCGTTCCCTGGGTGAGAATGCAAAGCACATGTCTGCTTCTTCTCTATTCCCTTTTCTTCCTGTCTCACCCCTTCCATCCCCAGTTTGGATCTTATTGATCTGTGGCAGGAACAAGGCAAGTTGGTATTTCTGTGCATTCAGGGAACGCCACCTTTCATCACTTTTTGACTTAACGTGACTAAATTCTGCCTGACTTGTTGTAGTTGCTGTTTCTCAATATTGTCCTAGGGCTGTAACTTTTTGAAATAAAGCAGTAGTGACTCATGCAGGGCTATGGCCCAGGAAATGGCATTCAGGAAATAATAGTCCCATTTAAGTTGCTCTCTGCACAAGCACAAAAAAGAACAGGTCTGTTTCAGGCTAAAGGGTGCAGGTGACTAGGTGGATGAGCTTTGCTCAGTTTGTGTTTAACCTGCAGGTTGTAAGCACGTATATTTTAAAAATAGTGTCCCAAGCTGTATTTCTCATGCAGTTTTATGTGGTTCAGTGTTACACATGTCAATTACTTTTCACTTTGGGCAGAATTTCATTGAAGAAAAGAAACTTGAGACACAACTAGAAACTGCAACTCGTATCTGTGAAGATTTGAAAAACAAAAACATAGGCAGTCCTGACTTGGGTAAGTTCATGCATGTAAACCAATATGAAGATTTCTATTTTGGACTAATGTGCTGTCACAAGTTTTAATTTCCTCTTATGTTTTGTATAAAATACTGCTTCTATGTCATTAACCTCTCTGTTTCCAAGTGTATAACAGTAATCCCTATTTGCTGTCCTAGCTGGAGATTCTCGAGAAATTGGCAGACTTTTTAAGACAGTGGAGTCAAAGATTTCCATGTGCAGAGACTATATTTCCAGTGTAAATACCACCCTGCAGAAAGTCTTGTCTTCCTGGAGTAATTATACAGAAAACATCCACTTACTAAAGACTTGGCTGGAAGAAAGCAGAAATGAGCAGCCAGAAGAGGTAAGTGGTTGGATTTCCCTCTGTAACGACAGACAGAGGTACTTGGAAGCCTCCTAGAAGGAAAGCGTTACGTGTGACTATAGTTGTTGTTGCTTTTCTGTTCCTCATTTTGAAAATAAACTTTTGACAGGGTTCTGCTTTAAATGATTTCAATACCTCTGTCTAGATCCCTGCTGAGATCCTGGCAAAGTGGAACCTAGTTCATGGTGCCTTAAATGAAGCTGGAAACTATCTCATTGAAGTCAGCAAAGAGCAAGTTGGATCAAATATTATCAAAGAGCTGAAGAAGCTCAACAGGAGATGGGCTAAGTTCATCAAGAGGACACACTTTGTAAGTTACTAGTTCCATATGACTGCTTGCCATGCAGCCTTCAAAGTCATATTTTCTAGACTGGTCAGCTTGCTAATCAGAGATTTATCGGTCTTTCAGTCGACTCAATATTCCGGTTTTAAAACAGGAGGAGCAGAGAATATACAGAGGCATCCCATTCTTAAGTCTTTGTGATTCTGTTAAATGCTCATTATAACATGTTGGAAAATGTTCGGTTTTCAAATTGAAATTTTAAAACCACTTGTAAAAGGAAATCTTACTGCAGAATAAAGCTCTTGATCCAGTTACCTGGCTGGGATTACTGACCGTAAGGGGCTGATCCTCAGCCTCTCTCTCTGAGCCGCATCTCACCCTAAAACCTTGTGAGCCTTTGCTAAATTTTACGATCTCTGCTTCCACAAGTAGAAAGCAATTATTGCTGCACAGGTATTTCCAAGGTTGTGCAACTTTTCGCCAGCTCACTTGACAGGTTCTTGGGCTGCTGTAAATTCCTATAAAACCTGCCTAATGTTACATATGTTACATTTCCTGGAATGCTTTCACAAGAATGACATTTTCATTCTGCCTGGGAATATTAGAGCTCTTAATTTTCTAAGTTGAGCCTTCCATTAACATTTATTAAAGGTACTGCTGTGACAGTAAACAGTGGCAAAAGATTACAATGTTTTTGTAGGAGGTGAGCTTAGAATGGAATAAAATCAAAGGAAGCATATTCCCAAGGATGAGGGAAATCTGGTTTCCTAGGAAAACCCTTAATAAGAAATTCTTTTAGAAAATGCATTCAGAAATTAGAAAAAAAGAGGCCTCTTGAACCTTACAAGGACTTAAGGAGTTATTATTCCTGGCATTGCTCTGGATGTTATGGCTATCATATATTTGGTTTTGTGGACCAAAAGGCAAGGCCAAATGCTTGAGCTCTGGCCTGTGACTGTCAGTGCCATTAAACTGTTACCACGCTTCCTGATCTTGATTTGACCAACACCAGCTCTTGTTCTCTTAGGCAATTCCCTGGCATGGCCTGAGAGATGCTGCAGCCTAGGAGTTATTCTCCATAGTATTGTGGCTGTGGCTGCTTATAGGGGAGAGAGCAGGCCATACGGGCACAGGTGATGCTGTCCCAGCTGCCCTCAGGGTAGAAGAACTGAGCCTCACATGGTTTATTTACCAGTATGTTTGTCCTTTATTTCTCCTTCAATCTCTATTGGATGCTAAAGCTGGAAAGTAATCTAAGTGGTGACTGTGTATTGCAGCAGGGTAGTGGAGAAACCCATGAATAGGTGAGAGAAATTAGCATCTTACCCTGATCTTTCTTTATAGCTCGGAGAAGAGAACACGAATGCCACTGAAAAGACCAGGGAGCTTCAAGGGAGCCTGGAGAAAATAGAAGAGCTCCTTAAAGAGGTGAATAGCTGGGCAGCAGAGACTGGACATCTGCTTAGCAAGATCAGTTGTGAGGGGCCTGTGGGGCCTGAGACGGAGGAACATCTGCAGGTGAAAATACGGCTTAAAATACCTGTTCCAAAGATTCTGGTCTTACCACATGGATCTGTGGCTGGGGTAAAATGAGCCAGCATCGGTGCGGCAGAAATTAATGTCATGTTGTGCTGTAACACTGGTCAAGACAGTGCTAGTGTTTTGATGTTATTTCTCAGGGTTGCTCCCAGATGAGCTGTGAATGAATCTTCCAACATCAGTGTGTTCAGATGACAAGCAGGTGCCAGTGAAGTGCTGTTAGTGTCACTGATCATCAGCTTGCTCTTGAGTGATATGAATTACTCTTGTCCAGCACAGCACTTGCAGCAGATTAGAACTTTGCAAGTTGCTAAATTGGGAATTTCCCCTGGTGTCATATAGTGCTTTTATTATCTACCCTCCAGTGCAGGGAAGAGGTCTGGGACAAGTTAGCTGTATTCAAGGCTTACTCATAAAAATTGAGGTACTCAGAGTATCAAGGAGACTGAGGGGAGACCTCATCACTGTATACAACTTCCTCACAAGGGGCAGGGGAGGGGCCGCACTGACCTCTTCTCTCTGGGACCAGGGACAGGACCCAGGGAATGGGCTGAAGTTGTGTCATTGTAGGTTTAGGCTAATATTAGCAATTGGTTCTTCCCCCAGAGGTGTTTGGGCTCTGAACAGCTCCCCAGGGCAGTGGGCACAGCCCCAAGGCTGACAGAGCTCCAGAGGTGTTTGGCCAATGCTCTCAGGCACGGAGTGGGATTGTTAAGGATGTCTGTGCAGGGCAGGAGTTGGACTGGGTGATCCCCAAGGGTCCCTTCCATCTTGGGATTATTCTGTGATTCTGTGATTTTCATCAGCACATAGGGTAATTTGGGAATCCCAGTTTATAGGCAGTTGCTCTAAATATCCAGAAAGAGCACAAATGAAGAGTTTACTTTTGGTTTGTGCCTTCTTGCATTGTGTTTGTCAGATTTGGGATCATGAAAAGAATCTGTTAATCTTTTTGTAATTACGGAGATATATTTATAAAATAAGCCCCATTTTGCAGTGTGACACTGGTTTGTTAAAAACCATGAAGTTACAGACGACACCCTGAAATACAGCCTCCCAAAATCTGGCTGGTATTGTATCTCCATGACTCTGAGCAGGAAAGATCTGGTCACTTGTTAACTGCAGTACAATAGGTCGAGATTCAGAATAAAGCACTGATTGCCAGTAGAAGAATGCTAATTGCCAACTTCAAACTGGAAAATGTGTTGAATATTCATAGATCAAAGCAGCTCTAATAACAATATTTCTTGATAAGTCGTGGCACTCTACTTTGGCATGCAAAATACTCAGCTGCTTCCTGCCTTTCAGTGCTGAATGCAGCAAGAAAATCTAAGCCTTGGTATGTGCTTTCTTTTGGATGACTTCATGGTCAAACAATGCATATCCAAATGTGTGGTTTGTACATTCATTTGGAAAACTGTTTGGATGGGATTGCACGTTTAAAAAATACTTCTAATTGACTCTGAGGTGAAGACATGGGAATTATTGTACTGATGGGAAGAAATGGTTTCAGCAAACAGAATCCCCTGTGGATGGCAGCAGATTTCTTTCTCTCTGCACAGAGATTTTTGCAGGGGAATACACTGCCCGTAATTGGAATATAAGATTTTTCCTTGACCAAATATTGACCATCCGTGATCAAGGCTGGCTTTTTCATTCAGTTCATTTAAACAAAAAGACATAAACACTGTAGAGGTTTCTAATCCTTTTTGTTCAACCAGACCTTGGCTGCAAGAGGAACCTCATGCCAAGAACAAGTTGTGGCAGCAGAAGAGATATTGCAGTCCCTGATGCCAAGTGTTTCAAGTCAGGTGTTTCAACAGCATTCCCACACCTCTGGGCTGCAGACACGAGTTAAAGAAGCCAGAGACAAAATAGAGGTACTCCTTTTTTTGATCGTTGCTGCACTTTATGCACACGTGGATATCTCTGATTTTTGTATGGTGTGATAAGGAAGGCTCCTTGTCAGTCGTGTAAAATAGAAGAGGTTTTATATGATGGCAATCAGTCTCCCAGGTTTTTGCCAGGGCAAAATCTAGAACATTTCAAAGATTGGTATCTCAACTTGAAAAATTTGAGTGATGTTATGAAGCAATAGCTTTATGTAATTACTGACACTCAGGCATGTTTTGAAAAGTCTCTTTCTTCCAAGGCTGTGATGAGTGACATGAACAACATCTTGTCCAAATCTGAGAAGAGACCTTCAGAGAAGGAGGCTTTGCTCAATTTTGAAGAATCCCAGAAAGAACTCGAGGCCTCCATTTCAAAGGCTGTGCAACTTGTCAGTCAAAAATTAAGTCCTGAAGAATGTATTTCAAAGTATGAGGTGGGTTTGTTTTCTGAACTAGCAGAATTTGAGTATTTCTTAGTGCTGTCTAGTCTCTAAAAGTCTAAGGTACCACAGTGAGAAAAATACTGGATTTTTTTTTTTTTTTTTTGTTTGGTAGCTCTTAATGCTTTTCTCAGCTTTCTGGTTTAGCACTGTCAGCATATATTAACTTGGCAGACAATTTAAATGAAGAAACATACATCTGTGTGGCACTTTATTCAGTGCCCTGTCTTAAATTACTCCATCATTCCATCAGAACTTGACATGTTCTTTTTTTTTCCTGATTACTAATTAAGATTCCCATCAAGAAGCACATGCCTGAATTCTCATGCAGGTTTTTAAGGTGTGATTATAAATACTGAGTCTTCCCTTTTTGCCAAAGGCTAACTGGTAAAGAAGGTGTCCAGTCTCAAAATCTGGACTTCCAAATGGGTATCAAGAATGGAAATGCCCAAAATCTGTGTTGCCTCGTCTGGCTGAGTGAGGCCTGGGTGGCCGTATGCCAGGAGGGGCACAGAGCCTCGCTCCGGGCCACCTTGTAGGATCCCATCATGCTGATGCAGTTCTTTCACCTGCTTGCTGACTGGCACAGAGCATGGCCACAGATATTCTGTAGAAATGAGGCAGAGTTGAGGGACCTTAATCTTTCTTCTTTTATACAAAATCTGCCGCTAAAAGAGAAGGTACAAGAACAACACCTGCCTTTCTCCATAGAGCATACACTGATATTGTCTGCAACCTTTTGCGGGTATGCAGGGGTAGAGAATGCCCTTGTACTCACCCATGCAAGGACCTCCACAGCACATACATGCAGTGCATACCTGCTTTATGCACAGATTTTGTATGCTACTGATGTAATTTTATTAGGTAAATAAGTTACATTCAGTTCTGTTTATTTTTCATTATGATGCTTTTCTTGCAGGAAGCTTTTAATGCTCTGGACAATAAAGTTCTTGACAAATTTTTGAAAGCAGCTGAACAACTGAAAAATACTTCATCTGGTCATGAAGAGCTGGTGGTGGAAGATGATGTTCGTAGGAGATGGGAGGTGAGATAACACAGGAAGGAGAATCCCTTGTCTGTTCTCATTAGGCCTGACATCTTTGGAAAACAATGTTTTTGTCACAGTTTGTTCTGACAGTTTTATTTGCTGTGTACTGCTGTCTCACCAGCTCATGGGAACGATGTGTTTTGAATTTTGCAGGCTGTTCATCAAGAAATGATATCCTATGTCCAGCTCATAGTAGAAAGGGAAAAGAAGAAATTTAATGCAACTTTAAAAAAAATCAATAAGCAATTAGGCAAGGAGAAGAAACTCCTCAGTATGGATAAAAGCAAAGGGCTTATCAAGGAACATGAGGTACCTGACATGCTCCTTTTCTGCTCACTTCCCTCTCTTTTTGGAACCTTTGCTGTCCTTCTTCCTATTTTTTATGTACATTATTGCAGCCTGTGCTTGTGGAACAGGGGCCTTGTGCTCTGTGTTATGTAAATCTAGAACAAAGAGGCCACCCAAATTATTTCTTTACCTTTTTTGACTGCAGATATTCATGCAGACTTGCAGAATTAACTCCTTGTTAAGTAGATGGTACCTTTTTGTTTGGTTTTTGCTTTTGTTTGGATTTTTGGTATGTCTTGCTTTCATCCTAGAAAGTCTAGTTATCAATGAGGAATATTTTTTTAAAATTCTACTTTCTCTGTAGGCTATGGGGCATGTCTGTCTGACATGAGGGTGAAGAAGGCTTGGGACCAAAGTAGTTAAAATTGTAATAACATAGTGAATTTCAAGATCAAGCAAGAGTCAGTGTAGTCTTGTGAATACAGCTGGGGAGCACGCTGCCAGAAATCCTAATTTCTTTCTTGATTCTACTTGGGAAAGAATCAAGGGAAAATAAGTGTTTCTTTCTTGGTTTGACAGTTTACACTTTCAGTGCACTCATCTGAGAAGATAATGGAAGTGAAAAAAAAGGTTTGAGAATAACTGTATAGCCTCATGACTTAACAGGAGTTTATTATATTGTTTTTCTTTGTTTAGGCCTTTTTTTCACATGAAGGCAGCCTGAGGGAACTTAAAAAGTCATTAGAAGATCTTAAAATATTGGAAAAACTCTCAGGAGAAACAGTCCCAGGGATACAGACACTGACTGCCGACTGCGAGCAGAGGCTGGGAAAGGTTCGGCAAAGTGTGGCAGAGATTCACACGGCACTGCTGGCTCGTGCTGGGAAAGAGCCTCCGCCTCGGACAGGGTGGGTGGCTTCAGAAAGAATTTATAGAGATAGCTTTTGTGAGACTGGGAATGTGCTACCAAGCATATTACTGTATTCGCTATGTGGGCAACTGTACATTTAAACATTTAGTACTAAGTTTTGAAAACTAGCAAGTGCAATGTTTGATTACCTTTCACCACAGCTGCACTGTTTTTAGTCTTTAGCTGGGATTTCTTCTTTTGTGTTTCAAATTTTGTTCTTAAGCTGAAATTTCCTTTAAACCATAGGAGCTCCATCATTGCTTCCGAGAATGGAGAAGAGCCTGGTTCTTCTCAACAAATTGATATCCTTTCAGTACAGGAGGTAAGAAATCCAGAATTTCTGTTAGAAAACTCTGCTCTGGCAAGGGGAGATCGTTGCCAAAAAGAAAAAGTTACTTTTTCTGTTACTATTTTTGTGGCTAGACCTCAGGCCTCTGGTCAGAAATCAAAAACCCATTGTGCTTGGGAGTGTAGGCTGAGTAAATATTAAAAAATATCATGCAAGGAACAGCACTAGGCATCCCAAGGAAATGTGAGTCTCCAACCTTGCGTCAGATTTTGGTAAGAAGTGGTTTTCAGGTGAAGAGTTATATGGGAAGCTGTGCTCAAGTGCAGGTCCCCCACAGTGTCCCAGTAATTGGAAAGCTTCAGAGAACAGAGAGAGGAAAGTAAGTTAAGAGTTGGAGGCATTTGTCTGTGTGTGGAAGGAATGAATGAGCTGACTACAGGTATTCCAAGATTTATACTTCAGGTTCATGACTGAATTTAAACACGTCCTGTATTCATGAATGGTATCTCTAGGGACACATCAAGCAATTGCTTCCTTTAGGAGTCTATTAGGTTTCCCTGTGTATTACTCAGCATTATCTGGAGGTCACTGTTACCCTTTTTATTTTTACTCAGACTTCAAGACCTGCTGCAGGTATAGTTTTGGAACCAGATGTGAAACATCATAATGGAGAAAGCTGTGCAGAGAAACTTGAGGAAGGTGGTGATTTGGCCATGCCAGCTTTACTAGAGAGGTACTTTTTAAAGGATAAAATGCATGTGTGTGAAGAGATGATGCTATGCTAGACATTCACAAAGTAATTTAATGTATCAGCCATAGGGTGCACTTTTGCTATCCAGAACTCAGTTCTTGTTCTACTATAGTTTACTTAATATTGCTCTGTAATTGATAAGGAAGGATTTTATAGCAAGAACACTTACAGCTATTAGAGTTTTACTTCTGCTCTTTTCTTGGACCAGAAAAGTCTGTATCTTCATATATTGCAAAAAAATAAAAAAAAATTGACAATTTCTAGAGAACTGGCATTTTTACATGCATAAAACTGAATTTGGAGAATGCAGGTAGGCATTCATACTTGGAAATGAGCCAGGTGGGCAAATTCTCAGTTATTTAGTATGTTGCTCATTTATGCCCATTCATTTGGGACTTAGGTAAAAATGTGCATTTGTAATAGGTTGAGCTTATTCTATATGGTAATCTATGGGTCAGCCAGTCCCATACCCTGCCATGTTGCATTAAATTAGAAGTAATATTCTCTCTGAAAGTGTTTGCATCTTTATTTAGCTATAACACACACACAAGGAACCTGGAGGAACTTTTACAACTCAGCAGAGATAAAGTAGCATCTGGCTTTAACGATGAAATAAAGGGCACTTCATGCCTTCAGAATAAGCTGCTTGAACTACAGGTAAGTATTTGTCTTTTAGAAACATGCTTGCACCTAAATTGTTATTTTCCCATGTAGAAAATAAATAATGTATTTTCTCACCTCTCTGTGTTACATGTATTGCCAAAGGAAAGGGAGCATCATTACAATCAGGTTTATTAGAAGCAGAAAGGAAATCAAGGGTTTGGGATTAAGCAGAGCTGCATTTCTGCTTAGCAGTGGAGTTTTGCAGGTGCTGTTGAAAGAAGAAATTGATGACTCTCAGTTTGTTATCTGCAGACTGAAATAGGTCTAATGGGAAAATCCCACAGAAAGCAGCTTTTTTCCTTTTTTTTGTCAGCA